AAGGTCCAAACTATAAATGATGCCTTTGTTCAGCCATTACAGTTGACGATTATCAAAGCTACAACTATTTATCGCTAGAGAGCGGGTTTTAACTTATATATATAAGAGTGATTTCCATCATCCAACCTGCAACTATGCCGATATAAAAAAATACGTGTCTATTATTTTTAATGTACCAAGTTTCATTAAATTCGGCGAGTCATGGAAAGATAACTTATAAGTGCGCATTAATTCTCCGAGCGAAAAACGCTATAAATATCCGGGTTTTTTTTTTTACAAATATGGCAATATAATAATGTATATATATGTTGTGCGTTAGTTTGTGTGGCAGGTCGAGAAAACAGACAGCTTGGAGAGGACCAAAGAAATATAGATAATATCGGATACTTGGAGAGAGGAGGATTACCTCGTGGGGTTCCCATGGACGACATACCTTGCGGAACAGGTTACTCATTATGGAAACCACCTGGCAGTAATTATTTTCCGCGTGGTGAAGCGCCTCCGCCCTATGAGGAAGCGATCGCGGCTGCGAGGGCGGAACAGGCATTGTTATCAATTAATCCGCATGCATTACTGTCGATGAACTTCTCGGACAGTTACATGCCAAATTCTAACAATCATGCGAGCGTGACCGTTGTCACGGACACGCGAAATAATTTGACCGTAAACACGCAGGCGTCATCTAATGATAGTAATGTACAAACACCATTGATATCTTCGTCTAATAGACTGCTGTCTAGTCCCAGTGCATATGCTGGTGGTTATCGACCAATAAGCCAAAACAGTGCATCATCCACCATCGGTCTGAATACAAGCACTTCCACCGCAAGTTTCACAATAGGGACAAACACGTACGAGAATCTACCAGTCTCGTCGATCGCTATAACGAGTTTCAATGATAGCCAACATTCCGCAGTGACAAGCACTAACACGCAGCCGCTATTACCGACATCGCATTCCACTATACCTAAGAATTATCGCCAGCACACAACGATATTTCCACGGCAGAGCGGCGGTGATGGCGACAACGGCGGCGCGTTTACAATATCGGCAACTCTGTCGAATTCGGACGAATTCTCCCATCGAACGATACCGCGAACGTTAACTTGCGTTGCCAGCAGATCAAAGGATGTTTTAACTGATTGCTCAGCGAGGGATTATCTCCGTTTGTCGCCGAGCAGCATTGCGGCGCCCCAAATCCTGTCACGTCCTATACAGCTGTCTACAGCCACAGTTGTAGCCTCGGGCAATTACAAAAGTACCAAAAATTCAGATCCGTTTTACACGGATGCTCCTGTGACATCCAGTTTGGCGCAATCGGAAACATACACCGCAGATACGGCAAATGTATCCGAGCGGTCTCGGGAATACACGGTATAAAAATATACACATTACCGTCGTATCAATTATATTTACGTTACTAATTCATCGTCATATAAAGATATTTACGTTACTAATTATCCACTTTTCTTGTTCATCGCAGCCTTCGTTAAGCATAGCTAACGAAATCAATGCAAGCGGCAGCTTTGAGTCGGTGACGTGTACCTGCAGTATACAAGCATTACCCACGCTGAACGACGACACGGACGATTATCGAAGCGAGTGCGAGAACTGTAAGAGCGCGACGGGTTCTCGTTATTACTTAGATAACGAAGATGAGCTTGTTACATCACTTCACGAAACTATGACGTTGCACAGAAGGCCGGATGAAGCGACATCAAGTGCTACACCACAGTATTATAGAACTTCACTTACACTGCCGACGAGTACACGCCAACGTACAAGGTAGACAGTCCATCTGTTTAATATTTTCAGAATTATTAGAGCTATAAAAAGCCTTTTAGGTTTATATTTTTGTGAAGCATAAAAATATACACTGTTCAACAAAAAATAAGGAACATTTTCGAAATACTCAAAATCGCACAATTTTCAGATTATTGAAACTTAGTGAAAAATTATCACAGACAAAAAATTAAAACAGCATTTTTGAAGTTTGGGGTTTGTTTAGCATATTTTTAGTAGTTTTCTTTTTAAACAATAATAATAATATCAACGCTCGAACAATTTTAAAAACAAAACATTAAGTAAACGACCGACACGAGCACAAAAAAGTTGAAATTAATAATTGGAGCAATTATACAATCAATACTTAGTTCTAATTTAATCTATAAAAGAAAATTATATAATACATTGCTTATAAAATAAAATTATATAATACACAAGCTTCTTATACCTCTATATTAAATGAAATTTCCATGTTGAAATACTCGAACCATTAAGATCTTAAAAAATTCTGTTATTGACAATCAATTATAATTGTAGTTTCTCATGTAAAAATCTTGTTGTTGTTTAATATGCTTTAGTTCTTTCCGTTATTGACAACCAATGATATTTAAGTTGCCTTTGAATACGTAGTTGACTTTTATTTGGTTTTGTACACTGTCATTATGTCGACACATATTCGTTAATATCAATTCGATGTACCAACACGTCTTTGTTCTTCTTCTTTTAAATTTGGAAAGATTTTCAATGGATTTGACAATGTAAGTTTTAACTGCTTAACAATAGTAAATTAAATTGAGATTAATAGTGACAAAATTTTAATTCTTATCTATATATTTAGATTGTTTTTGACATAATTGAATTTCTCGCATTTTAACGATCAAATTCTTTTGGATTAAAATATGACGAACTGGAGTGATGAAATTTCTGAATTGAAAAGAAGATTAACATCATACGAAGGTTGGAAAGATCAAGTTTTACATAGAAAATTTATACCGAAATATTGTTCCATTACGAATAGCGATTAATAATTATTGTTTTACACTGAAAAAGGCTCTGTGAAGCTGAAACGTTTGAAATTTTACCAATGTGTGTATTATATAATTTTATTTTATAGATTAAATTAGAACTAAGTATTGATTGTATAATTGCTTCACAATTATTAATTTCAATTTTTTTGTGCTCGTGTCGGTCGTTTACTTAATAATTTGTTTTTTTTAACTTTATATTTTCACAGTTCTGTATCTTAAAGATTACATCATTTTATTTCTTAAAATTACACTCGGTACTCTGTAGCTTAATAAAAAAATTTTTTTTTAATTAAGACATTTTTACAAAAAAAAACAGTTTCCTCTACAAATTTCTTTTTTAAATTTTTCTAACAATTTTTTTTAACCAAACCAAGGAACTTTCAAGTTGAACCTGCATTTTGTACAATCGATGTTAAAACTTAGCAAAAAATCATCGCAGACAAAAAAATAGCATTTAAAAATTTGAAGTTTGTATTTAACATGCTTTCGTTTTTGAAAAATTTTTTGTCCTCGATAATTTTTCATCAAGTTTCACTGATCAGAAAATTACGCAATTTGAACAATTTCTTATTTTTTGTGAGTAATGTATTTGTTGATGGTTCATATCACATAAAAAATTTTAGTAGCTGAATCTTTAATAGATAGTGTCTTTGTATTTAGGATTACCGGAGCTCGTGAAAATTGGTTCAATACTATGCCAGAAAGTTCTAGCGGTTCTTCAGACGAAAATTAAATATTACGAAAAAAAATACAGGAAAATGTTCAAGTAAGCAAATAAAATTATACATGCACACACAAAATACACAAACACGTATAGTATGTATATGACTTTTAATATACGGTATGTATATTAAAAAAAATTGTACCTATACAGAATGTCCTAGAATTGTCGCGCATTTTTTTTTATAAGACTGTCGATTGGTTAATTGTCAGCATTTTGATAATTTTTGCGCTATATCTAAGATCAAAGTAAAAATAGTCAGACTTGTTACATTTAACGCGATGTAAGGATAGTTCTATTTCACAAATTTTCTTTTATTTGTTTTTTTATTTGCTGATTCTACAATAAATCGGTAGTTTGTAGTCTTAGAAATTTGCTCTGCTGGCCAACTCACCGACTACAAACTATTGACTCATTATAGAATAGCATTTGACATGATGGTTTGAGTCTTCTAAAATTCTCTTCTTTTTTACTCTTTCTATGCAATATTTAAAAGATCAGTTTTTTTAAATCAGTTTTTAGGGACATCCTCTATAGCGATAATAATCACTATATCGTAATGATTATTACCATATATATGATTATCATCATTATTATTAGACAGCGGAAACGTATTAGGGTTTACTGCAATGAACAAATCCTCGCCTAAGATATATTAAGGGGATTCTAAAGTGCCCGCGCGATTCCGATGATATCGCCATTTTATTGATAAATAAATATATATCGATGTGTCGCATTTTTTATGCATATCTATATATTACTACATTAATAGGTCTGTTCTTTTTGACTGAACTTTTGCACAAGTTCAGCTAAAAAGAACAGACCTAATATCTCACGGACACATAAATTTTCGTAGAACAATAGTGTTTTAACTAGACGTTTAAGTTTAATTCTAAGAACTCCGTGTTAGTTTGTATAATCTACTGGTTTGTGGGACATAATTTTATAAGTATAAACTGAAAAACTTTCACATCAAGGAAATGCTGCTATTATATTGACAGCTTTGATGCCATATTGGACTGAGCAATGATAAAGATGATCCTGATTTAAACAATTTTTTTCCATTTTCGACATAAACTCCACTCACAGACACATTAATGCGTATACATTAATTTTGGAAAAGGATTTTCGAATCTGTAAAAGAAGAAAAAAGTAATTATACAAAAATTATTACAAATTAATGAATAAATTAAAACAGAAATTATTGTTTAGTCGGTAATAATGATGACTTTGGGATCCCCTTAAAATGTATCAGTGAGAAATTTCATAGCGAAACATTGCGTTCTATTTTGCATCAGATATAATCGATTGTTATCATCGTTATTATTGTCATAATCGTTGCACGGACTTAGAAATAGAGGGACGGAGCCTAAAGTCCTACTTTAGGTAAGAGGGGGTGTTCTCTCAGGCATGTAGGGGGAACCGTTCTCAGCCATATTAGTTTCTGAGAACTCACACATAGACATATGTGTCAGTGACATTCCGCTTGAGCTGTGTTAGTGTGACGCTAGAAAGTTAGGTTAGATACTTGAATTCATTCGTCTCATTCATCAACATTAATTCACGTTTTAAAAATAAAAATGGTAAAATGCA